TGTGTGTGTGTGTGTGTGTGTGTGTGTGTTACAAAGTTGTTGTGAAAAACTGTATTTAAGTTTTCAATCTATCCATAAACACCAGACAGTCTGTCTGTCAATCCACGGGGATACACCATAAATTAAATGTACAGACATGATCCAAAGAGAATCAAACCTACAGAGTTTCGGTGAGTCCCTGACTTTTCCTCTAGAACATCATAAGCTGAGTTTTTTGAAATCACATTCTCATGTGAGTCTGCTTCTTTATTAGTCTGAGGATGTTTAGCCCCCTCAAGCTTCCCTGCAGCTCACGCTGGCTGAGAGGCGGAGGCCGGACACTCACATCCAACAGTCACAGCTATTTCACCCACGTCTTTGCTCTGAGGAAACCAGCTCATAGGCATGAGTGAGAAATTTTAAGAGCGGCTTCAGCATCACCTTGAATCCCTCAAAGCTAGACTCCTACAATCAATCACCAGCATCCGCACAATCATGCTGATTTCATTATCATTCCTGTAACGAGGAAGAGCTATCGATCGCTCCCCTGTGTTTGATGTAGATTTAGCATAACGCGGCAAATGATCAAAGCACTAAACTTACCCATGAATGCATGAACAAAGGCACCAAATCAATAGGCGGGTCAATATCTTTTGCATGTTTAATGTGTGGTAAAATACATGGGCAGTGTATTTCAAAAAACTGTAAAATCTCTGCAGCCCCTTTAATATGAGCATATTCTTTTTGCTTCTAATCAATGATGTCTTGTCCTCTGATGGTGTCGAAGTCAGGGAGGCTATTTTGAGACGACGCAGTGGAACACGTTGCCTTTAGCCCCCATCACCCCGTGCTCTCAGGGGGTTTGCCAGGGTCTTCTGCCCTGCTGGTGCTGACATTTAGGCCCACATGAATCAATGAGACAAGCTGTGGAGGGATGCCTGAATTTCACTGCAGATAACCCCCCTTGCATGGTTCACAGATAGCCCACACCATGTGCAGGGAAAAGCAGGGAATTAAAGACATTTTAGCCTGAATCCCTCTTGTGCAGAGGGTGTAAAACATAACGGGAGAGGACCAGTTTTTCTGCACTGACAAAATCAAAACCATTAGTGAAACCTTTAAAATTTTAATTTTACATCAAAATAGCTTAAGTATCTGGGTAAAATAACTCAGTGGGCATGTTAAGAGTCTGATGTGTGGAGTAAATGATGAACTTTAAACATGTTGGAGGTGAGGATTTACATGGCTGACCTGTTTTAATTCATAATCCAAGCAAGTAAAAACCACAAAAGATTGATGTGTGTGTGTTTGTATTTTGCCGAAACTAAGGATGATACAGCATTGACTAGCTGAGCAGTTACTATTACATCATCAGGAAGTGTGACGTGTCCTCCGGCAGCCCCGGCAGAAGAGACGCTCTGTAATATCATAACTGAGCAATAACAGCTTTATGCCCATATGAGGACAAATTTACAAATAGTTTGATCTTCAATTTCTCACATGTCCATACATGGTCCAGCCGAACACTACTGGTTTTCACCTTGTCGTCTTTATGTGTGTCCTTGAAGGGACAGCAGGTTTCTCGAGTGCTGTTTAGACTGCTGCACACTTGTGTAAAAGCGATGAAGACATTTACGCCAATGAATTTAAGTGTATGTGTGTGTGTTTGTGTGCGTAAATGTGTGTGATGGAGAAGGCCAGGGATTGATTAGAGCTTTCACTCTCAATGTGGTTAATTGCCCAGTGAGGCTTAGCAGACGGTGCTGGCTAGATTGATGTCCGATAGCCAAGAAGAGGGGGAGTCAGGGCGTGTGTGTGTGTGTGTGCTGGAGGGAGGGAGGGAGGGACGGTGGGTGGGTGGGGTTGATTTACTGAGCAGAATGGATGGGAAGGGGGACAACGAATCCCAAATTAATGTTGAAAGATTGAATGGTTAAATATTGCACATTGATAAGCCCAAAGGAGTTTCCTTCAAAAGAAAAAAAAAATCAAGCGATTGTAATCACATCTGCCAAGAATAAAAGGAGAATTAAAGAAAGGAAAATTCCCAGTCACCTATTGTTATGTTCTGCAGTAATTAACAGGGTTTGGTGTCTTTTTTTTTTTTTTTTCAGCAAATTCTGCTTCCTCTTTCAGAAGATGCTTCCTTTGGGTTAGTTTGACAATGACCTGATGTTTTAATCACTCATCAGTTCCCATGAACTTACACCGCAAAAACAATAGCTTCACTCTATGGAATCAAGCTGTTCAAGATATTTTTATAACACTGTGAATAGAAGAAAATCTTTATATTGCAGTCAAAAGTTCTTGAAGTTCAAATGTTCCTATAGATGTTAGTACAGCAATAGAATAAAAGAACAACTCAAATGAAATGGAATATAGCATTTACGGGAGAGGTCATGAAATCCAGTCCTGATTTTTATTCTTCAGTGTACTGATTGTCAACTGGGTTCATAAAATTATGTTTATTGTTCAATAACAGGAAAGGTGTGTGTGTATATGTGTGTATGTGTGCGTGTGTGTGTATGTGTGGGCGATGGAATTAACTCGCAGAGTGTGATACTGTGGGACAAGCCAGCCTCAGTGTTGGCAGGGCAGGTTGGGTGGATAAGGAAGCAGTAAAATCGTGGCTTATAGAACACTCTCCTTTTCACGGCGCCTGTTAAAACTCTTAAGTAATACGAGCGCTGAGGATATTGAATACTGCGTATATGTGAAAGAAAGTGAGAGAGCAAATGTAAAGTGAGAGAATAAAGCTTTACACTGCAAAACTATGCATCCAAGTAAGGCGGATATTCAGATTTAAATTGATGTCGTACTTGTTTTGAGAATAAAAGGTACATGCCTGGTGTAAGACATTTAACTTCATAAGTCACTCTTTGTTTGGTTTTTAAAATAGATACAAGGGGTATTTTGATAAAAACCGTCTCTTTTATGGAAATAAATATTTCGTGTTTGTCTGCTTCTCTACAAACTCTGCCATTCAGAGCTATTACCAATAGATGATGGGCTCATTTCAAATTCTGGGAAATACATTTTTTAAGAGGAAGATCTAGAGGAAGAGAATCCTTCTTAATACACTTCTAAACTTCTAGCTGCATTTTAAACA